GCCCGTCTGGCACGAACAACCATGCCACGCTCAAAATTGCTTAAATCACCTTTCTTTCCCATTCTGACATTCAGTTTGGAGTTCAGGACATTGTCTTGACCAGGACCACACCCCTAAATGCATTGAAACAACTGCCATGTGATTGGTTGATTAGATAATTGCATTAATGAGAAATTGAACAGGTGTTCCTAATAATCCTTTAGGTGAGTGTATATCGCTATATACAAAATTGTTATATAATTTTAAAATAATTATGTGAATTATTCACGTGCATTTTGAATTGTGACATTTATTTTAAATGTATAATAAATGTAAAACGTTTTGTTTTGTTACATTGTAACATGCAAGTGTGATCACAGGCATGGGGAGTCCCTGAAATGTCAGCACTCCAATTCCACAAGGGGGTGTGAAGCTAAAGGGACAGCACTGACAGTTCAGCTCATCCAAAGCCAATGGCACCGTTCCCCACTCAGATCTACACTTCACAGTGTATTGTTCGACTTTCTGAACGCCATGTACAGACATGTGACCTAATGCAGCCCTACAGAGCACATAGTGAAAAATACATGTAAGTGCACTTAAGTCAGTGGCCAAATGCACTTAAGAGTCATTTACATACGGCACGCCCATATTTTGGTGTTTCTTTGGCCAAAGCGCGTCCACTGCTTAAGTGCACTTAAACCCCAGACTTAAGCGTGTGGGAAAATACCCTTAAGTGAAAAAAATGTGCAGCTACCTGCTTTTCTGACTTAAGCGTGTGACTGAATCGACCCCTAAATGTGTATCCATAGTACAAAGCTTTCCATGCTATTTATTTTTTGTTTAGATGCTGGAATTGCCTCAGCTGGGTTGTCAGGATGCACAGTGGTTAAACAAAACATGTTTCTCTTGGACACTTTATTTGCTGAACTCTTGTCCAGATTCTTTGAATTAATTTATTCAATGCTGTCAGTGTGTCAGTTAAATGTCTTAAAATGTCATGACCAACTCCATCCAAGTGTTGACACTTTCCTGTAAAAAGGAAGATTCTATCAAAATTCTTTATTTTGTCTTACATAATCCTTTGCAATGGGTTTAAAGTTGCACTTTCAAAATCTCAAAACTTCCAGGATTCTACGTGACCTTCCAACAGCTAGACTGCACTCAAACTAAATTACTCATAAAGAGCGCTGTAAACCACAATGATTTTTTGGCTCAGATATTGAGCTAAGTTTATTGTTCTTCAGCGACAAATGTTTTCAGTCACGTGACCTTTTTCTAAAAGCTAATCTTATTTTTCTAGTTTGAAATATTTTCAAATGAAGAATTGTGATCATGAGGGCATTCAATTTGCTGCGTTGAGTGGACATAAACTTTGCTGTCAGTGTTTATATGGCTGATTGTGCAATGAATCAGATCTATGTGCAGGACGATCCATATCCGTTTATTGAGCAGAGGCCAAAACGCAATCCGAAACTCGTTAACCAAAATGACAGGCAGAAGTCGATATCGTTCTGGGGCAGAACCAAATCCAAATCGCATTTGTGGGCCAAGGAAATCAGGCTAGGGGTCATTAAACACAATGAGACGTAAAGGTTATGCAAGCTAGGCAACCCCTCAGTACGGAGAATCTCAATAAACATCTCCTTGAGCCACTGGCCTGAATTTAAAACATTGTGTAGGGAATAGTCCTGATGTGTAATCATGTAAAGGTAATGACACCTGAGGAAGAGTAACTGGTCCGGTAGCAGATCTGGACTGGATTACAGATCCGGGGGCAGATCGGTTGAAGGACAGATTGAGCATTAGATGTAATTAACCAGAATTATTAAATATCCATGAAACATCATTTTGACTTTCGACCAAATATATTTCACAGATATATTATCTTTTAATCTTTCTAAATGAAAAACCTCATTTTGACACTACTGTAAATGTCAGAGGGATAATTATGCATGTGCAACTTTTTTTTTTAAATTTCAATACTAACTTCACACAATTATTGATCATAGGTCATTGTCTCTTTGGACATGAAAGTTAAAAACAATAACATCAGATACCATTAGTAAATTCCTTTAAGTTATACTAAGTACCAACAACAACAGCCCTTTCCTTTGCCCCATATAAACATGCATATTCATAGCAGCTGACATTGTTTGGCTCCAGAGCTGCAGAACCAGGTGCTGGCTCAGGAACCGCTGGGTCTTTCCAGCCAGGGCACGCATTCTTTCTGACCTCATCACCTTTCCTTTTGCTTGTTCCGGCTCAACTTATCCTCCTCCCTTTCCGTTATCATTTTTTGGCTACACTATTTTAAATAGCTTTACCACATAAGCACATTTCTCCCTGCAACCCTGAACTTGATAAGAAAGTATCAGATGGATGGATACATGGAAGTACAATTTGCAAAAGGTTCTCAGATAAAATATTAATATTATATTGTTCATAACCAAACAATATTTTTGATGCCACAATGTGGCATATAATGACAATCCATCCATCCATCCATCCATCCTCTTGTCCTGAGCTGGGTTACAGGGTTTTGGTACAATGTTTTTGCAAATTATGGAAGTGATTGCACCATTAAATATACCAAATGAGGAAAGTTTGAAAGCCAATTCAATTCAATTCAATTCAATATTATTTCCATAGCACATTTTCACATTACACTTGGCTCAATTATCCCTGCCCAAAGGCTCCAGTGAGCAAGCCAGAGGTGACAGTGGCAAGGAAAAACTCCCTAGAAAGAAGAAACCTTGGGAGGAACCAAACTTAAAGGGAGAGCCCATTCTCCAGGGGCCGGCAGAGGAAGTCAAATGAATAACATGACAAACAGTGGTACAGCAGCAGGGAAGGAAGGAGAGACATCACAGGGTCAAGGGTGGGCAGGCCGGAAGGACGTCACGGGTAGTAGAAGCATCACAGGCAGGTAGTCGAGGCATCCTGGCAGCACACCCCAGGTGGGATAGAGGGAATAAAAAGTGTGTTAGCCAAAGCAGGGGAGACTAGAGGCAGTGCAGACAGTTAGGTCTGTAGGCTCCGACAGATAGGGCTATGGCAGCATAAGTAGGAGGGAGAGGCAAGTGGGATCACAGGCATGGGGAGTCCCTGAAATGTCAGCACTCCAATTCCACGAGGGGGTGTGAAGCTAAAGGGACAGCACTGACAGTTCAGCTCATCCAAAGCCAATACCACCGATCCCCACTCAGATCTACACTTCACACTATGGGTTTAACTGGAAGTGAGCAGTTAGCTAGAGCTAGAACTAGAGTCCCTATAAGCTAGACTAAACACGTATGTTTTTAGTCTAGACTTGAATATTGAGAGTGAGCCTGAATCTCACACATCCACTGGAAGACTAGTCCACAGCTGCAGAGCTCTGTAAGTGAATGCTCTGCAGCCTGCCATAGCTTTTTCTGCTCTGAGTACTAATAGATGTCATACTCCTTCAGATCAAAGCAGTTGAGGAGGGTTGTAAGAGATCAGTGACTCTTAAGGTATTCTGGTTTATAAGGCCATTAAGGCCGTTTAATGCTTTATAAGTTAATAGCAGTATTTTTTGTAGTCAGATTTTTTAGTTTTTGTAAGAACTCTGGCTGCTGCATTTTGTATCAACTGAAGTTTATAAGGATCCAGATGGAGAACCACAAATGAGGGTATTACAGTAGTCCAGCCTGCAAGTTATAAAGGCCAGTATCAGTTTTTCTGCATCCTGAAAGGAGAGCATCTTCCAAAGCTTGGCTTTGTTCCGTAGATGGTAGAACACAGTTCTAGGAATACTGCTTACGTGACCATCGAAACATAGATCTGAATCAACCAGGACACCAAGATCTCTGACCACAGTGTTAAGATGAGTAGGAAGACCACCAAGGTTGAGGTCGTCAAGCTTATTTCGAGCAGCCTAAGGACCAACCAGCACTTTTTTCCATATTAAACATAAGGAAAGTTTAGCCATCCAACACCGGATGTCTAACTACAGTGTACTACAATGTAACGTATGAGAGATATGCCTCAGATATCGTTGGTTCAGTTCTAATCTGCAGTTTTTTTTATATGAAACTTGCTAATAAAATTTTTAAAAATACTTCCTGCATTCAAACTTTCACTATTTTCTGGCATGGAGTACCCAATATTTCTGTATGTATAAAATCTGTGGATAAAAACAGTGGTAGTACAACACCTGACAGAAAGTTCTGGGCCACGTCATGTGAAACATGAGTCATCATGTACATTTACTATAGAAAATGCTCTATTTAAGATGATGTGCTGCAGCAAAATGATAATGTCTTGGTATGTTTGCCAAAGTGCTTGTTTATTGTCAACTGGGTAATCACACACAGTAGTTTTCAGCCATCAATGATGCAATTGCGGTTTGAGTGGGAAATTTACTCTGAATGGCTTGATGATGGTACTTAATTACCTGGACTCTTGTGAATATAACACTTCCGAACAGCAATGGTCGTTCTGACTTCACATTAGTGGTGCCACATTCATTATGCATGCTTTTTAAAACTATCATAGAAATATCATTTTAAGTGTGATTACATAAGGATACTACTGTATCACCCGTGCACTCATGTTCCGTCATGCAAGTACTGGCCATTATACCAGTTTTTCATCTTTGTTGTTGGAGTGACACATTTCTGGTTGTGTAAAAAGTTACCGATTCGGGATGTGCTTCACTACTGGTCACCAAAGTGTTGGGATGTCTTAGCAGTCAGCAGGTTTATGGGACCTTTGCTTCTGTCAGTTGGACCTGCTTTCTTGGAAGTTCCCCGTTTTTCTTCAGCTCCATGCGAGATTATGACGATTAGGATGTGTGCTATGTACTGATGCTGCTGCACTAACCATACTGGCAAAGCAATTAGACACAATGGTGTCATTGCATGCCTGACTTTTTGGCAGAGATGCTGTGGTTCCTCTGTGCCTTTTGGCAAAGATCAAATAAGAGACAAACAGCAGCTGCTTATCTCCACACCTGTGGAACCAAAAATGCTTTAACCATTTTGTTTGATCATTAGGCATTTTGTTAATGCTTAGCAGAGCTTTGAATTCCGTGACCTACATATGTCACGATCTATAACCGATTTTCATAACTGGATATTTTTTCGCTATATGGGTCACATGCCTTGTGTAGTAATATAGAATGAACCATAAATGGAATTTGATGCCTGTTATGTTTCCAGCAACGAGGTCACTCACGTGGTGGCGGAGGACAACGAGGCCCAAGAACTGCAGGCATGGCTCCACAACCATGGCCTGAAGGACCAGGCAAGCGTACAATTACTGGACATTACCTGGTTCACCGAGAGTATGGCCGCGGGGCGGCCCGTCGTTGTCGAGTCCAGACATCGTATTCAGGTGGGAGTTTCTTGAACATTTCCATCACATTTCAAAATTGCTTATAACAGTACCAGTACCTACCACTAGGTGGCAATGTGGTCCAAAAGAGAAGCTGAGAACAATGAGCGCTGTTTTTTCATGATTTTGTACTGGAATGTGGCAAGTGCAAAGAGTAGAGAGTACAGTATAACAGGAAATTGTAGCAATGATTTACTTACTGGGGCACCCTACGTTGCCTGGGACAGGCTCCAGGGTCCCCTGTGACCTTATCCAGGAAAAGTGGTTAAATGATGGATGGATTTACTTACTATCTTACTGGGGAGACCTATTTGTTTCTTTTGGGAGTATTCAGTGAAGAAGGCTCAAAGTTATTCAATAAACAAGACCTCTGAGGATTAAAAACAGACAGTTGTCATGCTTTGAAGAATGCTAGCAGATACATTTCACCTTGTAATCCCCAATTTGCTTTATAAAACATTATATTAAATAAAATGAAGGACACACACACACACACACATGTCAGCTAAACATATCTTTATGGGGATCGCTCAGGGAAAAATGCTAACGTTAACTATGACAACCTTAACCCCTACCCAGCCCAAACCATAACCATAAGTAACCAAGCAAAATACAAGTTTTTTTTTGCATCTTTAGTTTTTTCACTGCAGTCACACATTTTCATTAAATTGGAATGAAAACCATAATGGAAAAAAAATGGGTATTCATTCATCACATTATGGGGATAATGTATACCCGCTCCCACACACACACACACACACACACACACACACACACATAATTATTGTATTAATATATATGAAGTTGGTCCACGCTTTGTTGCTCTAATAGCCCCTACTCTCCTGCAGAGGCATTTTATTAGATATCAGAACATTGCTGGTGGGATCTGCTGCCATTCAGGTTGGGTATTGATGTTGGGCGATCAGGTCCATTTCTGTGAGCTTCTCTAGCCATCACTTGACTGCTGAACCTTCTCCCTGGCATTTCGACTTTCACAATCACCTCACCTGTGGCTGACCAGGGCAGCTCTAGCAGAGCAAACTGACTCGCTGGGAAGATGGCGTCCTGTGATGGTGCCAAGAGGGAAGTCACTAACCTCTTCTGTAAAACCTGTACAGCCTCCCATCCTGCTGCTCATAGTTTGTTGCTGGAAATTGTGTGACTGTGTGTTTAGTTATACACCAGTGACAGCGACGAGTATGGCTTAATTACAGTAAGCAATTCCTCTAATTAATAGTGGTGTCCATATACTTTTGCCTGTACAGTGTATAATTAATATTTTTACATTAACCTGATAAATACAGGGATACCTTTCTGTCTTCAGCATAAATCAGGGGGAAACAGTTATTTTTGTCCATAAACAGTTTAATCACGAGGCCCCATCAAAACATTTCAGATGCTTCTCTGACAAGTGCAGCTGCTCCAGCAGAGTTCTGGTTGCAAACATGGCCAGACTGGTGGGCGAACACAGGCACTGAAACAGCTTTTCTCCTTTTACAACTCATTTAGTGCAGCATATGTGAATTTTATATCAGCATATGATGCCTGCTAAGATGGATTATACGTATTTCGACCCCCAGTGGAGGAAAACGGGGAAACATTTTCTTCCTGCAGGATCAAACTCAGCTGTTTAAATGTAAAAGTAAGTGTCAGAGTTTCAGAGTTATATCTTTTTGCCACAGAGATTAAACACATGCCATATATTATATCAAGTAGTACTTCACCTTAAGCTTTGACCTAAAATATATCACCCATACAATGTGTTCCCCTTGGATCCAGCATTTACAGGTGCACTATTACCACTACTAAGTATAGTAGAATGCATACTTAGAGTAAATCATGTACATTTACTCCTACTGATAAGAATATACAAACATTTTACAAAATTTTAGAAATTTTGCTAAATAAAAAGTTACAAATTACAGATTGTTTCATATTTTCAATGGATTGTCCATGCAAATTCAAACTATAAAGCACTATTTGAACATTTATTTTACTAGTAATACAGTTATACTTTTCCTATGAATCCTTTATTCAAAAAAGGTTAGCATCCCCAAATATGCATGCCTTAAAAGGCTGAGCGTGCCCAAATTTGGAGTGTAATACAGTAAAAGAAGGTAAATGATATCATAAAAATTATAGATAATACAAGCAACTGGATGACTCTATAGAGATGTGACTAACCTTTAAAATCATCCCACAAAACAAGAAGATAAATTATAAGTTATTTTCAAAAGAACCCCAGATCATATCCAAAGCTGTGTTGGGCTGGAGATCACGATCATGATATTATCTGGCCAATTCAATGCAACTGAAGCGATGGAACTAATGCTTCCTCTCAAAAAAAATGCACCATCCATCCCTTTTATTTGCCCCCTTGCCCCATTCAGGATAGTGGGGGGCCTGGACTTTATATCAGAAGCACATGGCAGGGAGAAACCCAGGATGGGGGGGCAACCCATCACAGAGCACATATCACACACACACACACACACACACACACACACACACACACACACACACACCAAGTAAAATGCATTTAAAATAGACACTACAGCAAGAAAATGACCCTAAACATTCCAATAAATCATCTAAAGCACAAATGCAGCGTTCTGCAAATGCTACCTTAACATCAAACCACAAATTTATAGAACTGGTGTGGCAAGACAAAAGGCTGGACGGTCATGAGAGACACACCAGAAATCTGGAGCAGCTGAAACAGTTCGGGCCAGTGTTTATCAAATGGGGGGTTGTGACCCAAAAATGAGCTGCAAGACCATTTTCAGTGGGTCAGGGAGAGAGGAAGGTTTTTTTTTTTAAAAAAAAAATATTGCCATCCCCAGTCAACAACTTTTATCATGAATTTGATAAAATCCAGACTTACTGACTGAAAAATAGTTCAGGTCCTGAGGCTAAACCAGCCAAGAACCTTAGCCTAGGGCAACAATTAGGAAAAAAAGAAGATCTGAGAGAGCTAAACAATTGCCACTAAATAATGTTTGAGCTACTATTAAATAGACTTTGGTCATTCTTGGGATTTTCTCAGCAAATATAGGAGCTGATATAGATTTTGACAAAAAACGTTGTGGCTCAGTAAGTGGTTCTGTTGTCTCCTACCTATAGTCTTACGTCTTTCCACATATGCACACTCTCATTGTCCTCTGTCCAAAGATATGCAGTTAGCCTAATCGCAGCATGATTGCATTTGTCCTGGGGTTGGACTGCCATCCCAAGGATACAGGGTGTACCACTGCCTTGGTTAAACTGCAGGCTCTCCTGTGATCCTGACAAGCATTAGAGAAAAGTTAATACTGATCCTCCCATGGTGGCTCAGTGGGTGGCTCTGCTGCCACTTGCCTCCTGGGATGATCGGCGCTCCTGCTTTGTGTGCTGAGTTTGCACTTTTTCAGCATCTCCTCATTGTACCTCTGGATTCTCTGTTTTCTACTGAAAGTCTAAAACGTGCAGTTAGGCAGAGTGACATCTGTAAACTGCCCGTCGTGTGTGTGAGAATGTGTGTGCTCTGTGATGCACTAGCATTCTTCACCTGTGCTTCCTGGGTGAATGGACATTCGGGGCGTAACAGTACACAAAATTCACGTTTCGGTTCTTGGTTTGGTGCGATATTGCTACAGCAGGGAAAATGGAATTTGTTTTTAAATGATCTATTATTAAAACTGCAAACAGAATTAGGAACAGTTGTAAACCAATGGCAATGCATCTGTAGACGCGTTGTACTTTATAAAAATAAATGCACAACATAAAAAATTTAAATCATAAGGAATGAATTCTCATGTTCTTAATAAACATGTATGGTTGCATATCTGCAGCTGAACACCAGAACATCCCCTCTAGCCTTGAACTATAATGTTGAAAAATACTGTTTTCTGTATTGTATGTTTTGTGTTAATGTTTGTATTTGTCGTTCATTGTTGTAATGAAAAAAAAAACATGCAAGAACATGGACAGTAATGTTGCTATTTTTGGATAAGTACACATTGTAATTGATATATCTTCACAACGTTGAAATAAAAATAAAACTTTACAACACACATCTGTGCATTTCTAACTTTATTTACAACATACACCTAAGAGCATGATGGAGACTGCAACTGTAATTGTGGTGTTCTGTACTAATCTTCAAATTTCAATATACTGTATTAACTGTGATTTAATGTTACCCATGTAAAGCAGTCAAATACTTTAAAATAACCATCAGATTTTAAAGCAGTGGTTACCCTGGCACTGTTGTTATAGCTCATGTGCAGCTATTTCATAATCAAGCTACTTAAGGAGCGTTAACGGACTCTCAAACATGGTTCCTACACTCCTGTGACAGGTCGCAATGCTTGATGATCTAAGTCAACCGATGTAGGACAGCTTCTGTTCTGATGTAGCTAATTGTAGGTTTGTAATGAAATAATATAGATCTGCTGTAAGATTTCTTGCGTAAGCATGAGAGTCTGAAAGTCTGAGTGACGTGACAGATGCATGACAGTTGGCAACCCTGTATATGTAGTTCTGCAGGCATTGCAGTTTCTTGTTTTACTGGGTATTTACAAAGATTGATTACTTGATTAAGCAAATAATAGCTTGCTAATTTACATAAGTTGTGTTTTTCATGTGTCCCTCAGGCCACTGCAGTAACAAGTGTATCTTTTCATAAAATCCTGCTTTATAACGTTATAACATGACCTTACAGCTCAAGTCACACCACCATGATTCCTCTTAGAACTGCCTAAGCTTAAATGTATATCACGCTGTTTCAAAATAAAAGTCTGTAAACTCATGTTATAGTTATATTCCCTGTTTTCAACAATAAAAGCACAGAGTAGCGGATGCACTTCTTGATGCGTGTACTTGTATCCTGGTGGGAAACATGTCAATGGGTTGAATGTGCGTCTCGATGTTCTTGCTGCCATTAATCATCCACTGAAGAGGCCTAAAGGAGCAGGACCCTCATCAGGAAAGGGGCTGGCTCCTGACACACCTCACCACCT